AGTCTGGGTGATAGGGGCGGTCTAACATAATGGTAACATGCACTAGTTCCATTGCCCGACGATTTGAGGCTGTGTCGCATGACATCTCGTCCCAATGTGTACAGTTGCAAGAGGTATTGTTGTGACCTTTGCATTTCCCCCACTATCCATTGCTTGACGTGATGCAGTTTCAAATTAAGATATGGCCACGGCTAATATCCCTTCTTCAGGTATCCCTTTTTCGATATTGTAACCATCTCCTTGGAGAAGTCTCCATACTACACTGAAGGTGGAAAGGAGGGATGTACACACTAGTCGACCTCTTCTTTATCCACTTAAGTGATGGCTGTGTTATTGCGGAATGAGCGCTTGAGAATTTCGTTTTGCGTGGACTATGCAACATTACTTGACCATTTTACAATGCACGTTGGCAGTAATTTCACCTGACTACTATCAGAAGTACGTTGTGTTAAATACCGATTAATTTATTTCGACTAACAATAAAAATGGGTGACCAATGTGGCTACTAGAAGTTGGACCTTGTCATTTGTGAGGCAAAATTCATTTAATTGTACTTTGTTTTGAAGTCTTTCCTACTACTCATGACAGCATTGACATCTTCATGTTCCTCCTCCCCTCCTCTCCCCTGCCCTGACGTACCCCTTTGACCTTAGTGAGGTGTGGACACGTGTGTCCTCGACATGATGTGTTTATTACCCTCGCATAAAACACGCGAAGAGAAGTGATGAAGCAGGAAATCTAGTTAAGTACTGGAGGAGACCATTCAATCACATTCGGTGTACCAGCACGAGGTAATAGAGCCAGTAGAAGCAGTTATAGAGGAGGAAACAAGCAGGAAAGAGGAAGCGACTGTAGCCGTCGATTTCAGATATCTTTTTAGGTTTACGCGTCGGCAATTCATCACTTTTAGGGATGGGAAATTCACGATCTTCTTCGCATGGTAGCAGTGCGGCATTCAAAGCATCCGTCATTATTATATTCTGTTGAAGCTCTGCTTTACTCTGTCCAATGTCTGCAGGAAAAATCTTAGATTTGCTCATCTCTTCAGGCAAAAAGACTTCAATGAGAATGCGCTCCATCTCTTCACAAAATTCCAGTTTTCCTCTCTTCAAAGCTAATGCTGTGGCATTAGCCGAGTCAATGAATTTGCGTGGACTGGCCTCGGGAAATCCTGCTGAGGATAAGTAGATTCCTGAGGCCGAGGGTCCGCGTCGATAAAACACCTGTTGACAGGTTGCACACCACCGCGACAGCTCATGACGCACCGCATTGCGAACATCATCCTTCCAATCCTCTGCTTTTATATGTCTCGCTACGTGTGATGCAATAGTGAATTCAATTAGCACTCCAACATCGAAAATTATGCATGCAATATTCCACACATCAATCGCTTTAATGTATGAGACTCGTGGAAGACTGGATGATACCCCAGAAGCCTGTGTGAGGATACTAAGAAGAGTTAGTAGGCCCAGAGTGACTCGAGCTGGTTTCGCGTCTAAGTCCACCCAAAAACTATGCCACGAAGCGACTATAATGAGGAAATTGGGGATGTAGACGCTGGAGAGCCAGGAGCCGAGTTCACGAGACAGTGTGAAACGAATCTCCAGACAAGTGTAATTCCCCGTCGACGTTGACGACTCAGCGCTACAATCATAGGAGACTACATTTTCAGGACTGTTAAACTCCGAAATCTGCATTCCAGGTGACATGGAAATTGGTGTATCGTTCCGCCAAACAAATTGAAGTTCTGAGTACTCGTAACCATAGCTCCCGATGTTCATGGTACAGTCTTGACTATCCATAGGGAAGTTGGCTAAATCCATTTGACAGGAGAAACGCATGGTGATCTTTTGGCTATAGAGGATGTTCCCATCTGGCGAAATCCGTGTTAGGTAATTGGGAAGGGTCATTTTGTGTAGGCGACCTTCTTTGCCATTTCGAAAGAAGAGATCAGGTAGCCATAGTTTTCCTTTTAATTCAGGAGAGACAAGGTTTTTCGTGAATTGTTTAAAAACTGGGTGCCTATCCCAAGCTAGACGTGGATCTCTCCACTCCTGACGCAACATCATGTCAGCGGTATACTCCATCATTCGTACATCAACTGATGTGATAGCTGTTACAGTGATGTAGACAATGACAACCGACGGTTCTTTAATAGCAGCTCCTGGTCTTTCGTGACTTTGATAATTCTCAAAGAGATAGTCCATAATCTGCTCTCGCATTGAGGTTCCATTGAAGGCAACTGCGGTTGTGTTTGGCTGGGCAGAGATTCGTTGGAGTAGAAGAATTGAAAAAGTTGCTAGAAGTAGCATAGGTAAGGAAGCTAAATGTGGTCCAATGTGTGAGAATGCCTGTTATTCCGTATCCTGCGTAGGTAAGCTAGCTTTTCGCACTGATTGGCTCCTCAATGAAGTGGATGGCCAATAAGCTTGACGAACATCCAGGTGTGTGTTGATTGGATAAAAGGGTGGGGTGTGCGTGAATGGCCGTCGGGTATGCACAGATGAGTACAATAAGGCTTGGTCGATAGGACAGTGGAGGTGAGGTGTGCGAACCAATGAGATTTCGTATCTGGTGCTAAAATTCTGTAGCAGCAGCTTCTACCTGCAAGTGCTAAAGGAATAATACGGTTGTTGGGACGTCCCAGTCACTAAAGCAAAGAAGAGCAAAAGCATAGGCATAGGAGACGAGGCTCTAAAATTTGCTAGCCGTTGAACTTAAGCGGTATTTCTAAAAGTTATTATAAATGGGGAACATTTTAAAATAAACTTTTTGAATAACGAACAACAATCGCAGTAGGTTTTCAAGTACGGGTGAAGGTTTTCCATTGCGCCTTTGAAACAGCGATTTGAACTTGTTTTAGAGAATTGCAAAAATATGCTGGCACCTTGGGACCTTGCAAAAATCTCTGATATGCCATTGTAACTTCCTCTGCCTGCAGAGCAGTTTTGTAAGGTTATAGGGTGCCAAACGAATTGTATTTTCTTTTGAGAATAAAAGGTGTGAAATTAATTGGTGAAATCTTCCAACAAAGATCTGAATAAGATCAACAGAGCGCGGTCTGAGGAGATTAATCAATCCATTTCAACGTGCCATGTGAGCTGCCAACGCCTTCCTACACGAATATATTGTCAAGGTACATTTTTACTATTTCACATTTTGAACAAAATTGGGGATCAAATAATGACTATGTTGATGAAACTAATGACTCGAATGCACCCTATTTCGTTAACAATTCGGCCAAACATCATCCCGAAATAAGATGAAAAAAATCTCAGGACTTAGTTTCGCTTTTTCTTCTATCTTCCTTCAAGGTCTGCTTGATGGGCTCTGTAGAATTTGGGATCTTTCAGATTAATCATTTATTTCTGCCTCTAGAAGCCTTTTTACCAAATCGTCGATGCGTTTTCGTTTAGGCTAGCATTGTGGTAACTCCGGCCTACAACACTGTGTTTGCCTCTTAATAAAGGTTTTTCCATACTTCTTCCAGTCACCAGCATTCTCACCTCGGACCCTAGTGGCTCTTAATGGTAGGAAGTCACTCATTTGCCGTCTGCACCTCCATAGTACGCAACGCTTAGCTTATCTGACAATGCAATTAGTTGGCAACCACAAAATGGGATAGAGGGAAGTTGGTGAGACTGAAGTTTTACCTCTGCATTGTCTTGACGACATTCACCCACCACAATACTGCCAGCAAATGTTAACACATTCAGTGGAAATGCAAAAGGCCACTGAAGCAGAAGTTTGGGAAATTTTTAGCAAAATAAGTGAAAAGCGAAATTCCTTCAAAATCCGGCTATATGCTTGATATCGAAAAATGAGATCACATGTCTACTCTCTACTGTGTCATCGTTTTGCATTTCTGCCTAAAATAG